GCTCCAAGCACAGAGGGGTCACTCAGAATGACATGTTGCAATAACCAGGGCTGTACTGGTAAAATGGGATGGTTGTTTTTACTGGATCAGGCAAAAATAAACTTTGGGTACCTTTTTTAAAGTGCCTCTGTGCCCAGACTATCAACAATAAAGTATTAATAAAAAAAAAAAAACTGCAAAAGAGCTTTAAAACAAGCCATTATTGACATATCTAGCTGCTTCTACTCATTTTAAAGTTGGGGTTCTGTTTGTTTCTAAAAGCTTACAAGCACTTGCTGCGTGTCTACACCTATAAATCAGAGATATTGGCTGTGAAACTGGCATCTACTGAGATGGGCACCCTGTGCCATTCATTCAATTTTATTTGGCAGCCCCACTCCTTTAAATACCGAGCATTGTAAAAGTCCCTAAATTGACAGGCTATAGGGTAATAGCAGTGGATCCTCCACCAGTAGTATGCAGTTTATGGACTTGTCTGTTTTCCTGTCACTTTATGATTGCACTGCAAGCTTTTTGACACATGTGCTGCCCTGTTCGTAGAATCTGTGGGACAAATAACAAAACTTATGTTGTGTGTTTTGTCTAAAAATGAGTTCAATTTGAGATATTAGACATCCAGCTGGCACCCATCACCATCCACCCTTTGTGCTTATGCTTATTTGCCATGGAGTAAACTTTCTGAATAAGTTGCGACAGTTCTGCGTGTCTCACTTTCTTGAGGTGAGAGCCTGGGAAATTAATTTCCCATAAATCACAGCTTTGTGTCCCTCCCACACTGAACTCCCATGCACCTCCCCTGGAAGGTTATGCTCAAAATAGTTTTTTGACAGCTTGTACTGCAGCACGAACTGACTTTGTGGACAGAAACAGGCAGAGAGCTTTCTATCATTACTGCTGCATGATCGGAGAATGTAATTTGTTCTCTTGTTGCCTGGTCCAGAAAGTCGAAACTGTTTTACATATAAAAGGTCTGTTTTGGAGTAGGTCTTATGGACCTTCAAATGATAACTGTAATCTTGTGTATTCATTTCTACAATTCCACCAAATGTAAGCTGTAAATTGCCATACAAAAGTGTTGGAAAGCTGCAAACAAGAGGGTTGGGGGGGAGGGGGGTTTCCTGTAGAGTGCAGGCTCCAGGCCTATATTAAAATATACTCTAAGAATGAGAAGACCCTCCCTGAAATCTTGTCGCTTTAGATTTTGATCTATAAGGCCTGGTTCACAACTGAGCATTCCAAGAGCACGCAACACTAAGGCGTGTTTTCATGTATATTGCATCAGTGTTCACAGTGCCCTATGTGCCCTGTCATTCTCCATCTTTATAGTTTGGTCTGTCTACAGAATTCGGGTGAAAATAGCTTGTAGCGTCAGGACTAGATCAGGGTGTTTTGCTAGCTTACAGGAGACTCAATTCCTAAAGTTAGAGCATGTGCTTCTGTTTTCCTAGTCATCTAATTGCAGGAGCAGGCATTCTATTTTAAGATCTTGCCTGTGAGAATGTGCTTTCAGTAATTCTAGAGAGTCTGTAATGTCCTCCTGTTCTACAGGGTCTCTGCTCTGTGACCCAGCTGTGCAGTGTCGGCTTTAATATCATTTCGTTACTGTTTAAATTAGCCCTGGATTTCTTTAATGAATTGTGCAGGGTCTTTTTTGGTGGGCAGGTCTTTGATATGTGCCCATCTGTGTCGTCCCCAGATTCTCAGTACCAGGGAACATAGATACTTTTTGAGTGGCCTGCGTATCACCGGCTTTGTGAGCTATGAAGGCTGTGCAGTGATGTGCTGCTGCGTGTGCTGGCTGCAGCTGCCAACTTTTATGTAGCCTGGGCACTGTCTCTCCTCTCAGTTAAAAAGCTAAATAGGGGGCCCTGTGCCCTGGCCTGTGACTGCCCTGAGGATTCAGTGATGTTTTTTTGCTTCCCTGTCAAACCTGCTGCATTTCCGTTCCATGCGGACAAGGCAGGAGCTCGTAAGGAAAACGGTTTCACCTTGTTATGGCCACCCCTTTTTAAAGCACTTTTACTGCTTGTTCAGAATATGTAAACACTTTAGCGTGCATAGTCTGAGCACAGGTTTACTTTAAGAGTGAATCATTGTTGATTTAGTACTGTATGTCCGTTCTAATCATGTTCCTGCAAATAAGGAAGAGGAAATCTGTTTAATTAATAAAAAATGAAATCCTTTTATTGGAAATTCAACCACCATTTGAGCAAAGATCATTCAGATTATTAGCCGAGTTGCTACAAATTTACAGGACACAACAGCATTTCAATAATAGCTTGCTTTTGCACCGCAGTATGCACTATTAGGCTCCACATGGATTTACAAAACACACATTTACAAAGAGAAGAAAAAAATACACAAAAAGCTTTAAAAAGTGAAACTCCTGAAAAATAAAAATGATAATTTTTTTTTCACTTTGTCTATACACATTATTTAAATGTAATCTTTTTTTTTATATGGTTTTCTGTCTGGAGTTTTCTCTGATTCTGTTTTGTGTGGACAAATACATTTTAAACTTCCCAGGATACTGTTTCCCTGCTGTGGCAGCTTTGTGCTGAATTCTGTATAACTGGCACTGAAAATTAGGTTAGGGTTCTAGCAGATGGTTTTTTTTTTTTCTCTGTAAAAAATGTGCTCCTATTTCTACCGAAACTAGTACCAAACCGGTAAAAGGTGAAAGTGTGACCGGGACCAGACAGCAGAGTAAGGAAGCATAACATGGAAAATACATTTAAATAGAGTGATTCATCAGTGGTTCATTTTGAAGGAAGTGTTTAAAAAACAGATATATAAACATATATGCACAGCAAATATGTTAGACAGAACATTTGGAAAAAGTGAGCATAGGCTTTAGGGCTTGTTCACACCACTTCCAGTGCGTGAAAGTATGATTAGCTGCTGGAACGCACTGGATCACATCCTGGCAGGCTCCATGCATCCAGGGGCGGGAGGGGGCATGGCACATCAATGCCTGCGTTCCGGTCCAGTGTGACTGCAAAAAATAGTGCATGCAGCATTTTTTGCGTTCGCTCTGGACCGAAACACAGGCATTGATGTGCCACACATTCTGGTGTGGTTGATACACCTAATAGTGCATACTGTAGTGCAGAAGCAAGCTAATATTGAAATGCTGCTGTGTTCTGTAAATTTGTAGCAACTCGGCTAATAATCTGAATGATCTTGGCTCAAATAGTGGTTGACTTTCCAATAAAGGGATTTTATTTTTTTTGATTTAAACAGATTTCCTCTTCCTTATTTGGGCAGGAGCCGTGGCTGTGGTGCTAGTGACCCTTCCGCCCCAGAACGTAGGGAGCCGGCCAGGATGTGATCCAGTACGTTCCAGCAGTTAATCGTCCTGGAACGCACTGGAAGTTGTTTGAACAAGCCCTGAATGAAAACTACATTCTGAAGCAAAAATCCCATCTCTTAACATGCACACACGGTGCTTGCGATTAGCTCTTGTTTTTCTGTGCACCTCTCTGATCTTGTTTTTACTTTGTAAATAAAGCTGGCTATACACTGCTCGAATTTCAGCAGGATTCGGCTGAAATTCCATCTGTAGGTGTCCCTAACGGCATCCCTCTTTTCGACAGAAGTTCCCTTTTCAATCAACTTTTGTTTAAGAAGCTGGGCAGAAACTTGTCGGCCTAACAGTGACGGCAGACAAGCAGTTAAAGTCACTGTTCGGGAATTGGCGCACCCAGCTGTCAGATTTCATTAGCCCGGCAGGTGAAATTCATCCATCTACATTAACCTCAAATGGAAGTTTTTGTTTTTCATTCATCCCTAGGGGCTGAACGTGAAAAGACGCAAGTATATGACCAGTTTAGGAGCTTGAGTTTCTTGCCTTTTGAAACTTGCCACAGAGCAGAGCCTACCTACCCGTTGTCCCCCTGCGCTGAGCAGCTCAATTTGGACAGAGGGGAAGTGAGTGGTGAGGGGGTTTAGTTCTGGATCTAGAAAATGAAACCTTTATTAGTAGAGTGAAGCCAGGCACCCTGCATTAGCAGTTCTTTAATTCTTCAAAACTTCAAGTGGCTAACCTATTTGCTGTGGTCTCTTTTTGTGCCCATTCACACTGAGCGTTTAATCCCGTGATTTCTGCCGCCATATCGCGCATTTTTGCTGTGCGATATTGCGAGAAGTCGCTCGTCCAATGATTTTCTATGGAGCTCGCCTGTTGCTCATCGCTGTCGCAGAACCCTTTTTCCCCGCAGATGTCGCGCAATTTTTCTTTTTCTGCATGCAGCCCGACGGTGAAGGTCGCGCGATCGTCGCCCGAACAGTCGCGCTATCCCGGCCGTGCGGAAATCCGCTCGAGGTAAGTGTCGCTCAGTGTGAATAGGCCCTTGGCTGGTTATGAATGTTGTCAGTTCTTTCTTGACTGTTGGAGTGTGGAGTATTACAGTTTGTCCTGTTATTATAGGTAGAATCCAGTAATATTATTACAGTATTATCAAGAAGGATTTAAATACATTCTTATTTTGGAGATAATCTAATTTGTTATAAAAACACTAGACTGCTTGTTTTCATAACATGACATGTCGGAGGAACAAAGCATGTAATTATTTGTGCTACTGTTGTTGTTGATTGCCACTCTTAAAAACATTAACTCGAGCAGCAGTTATTTTCCTTTATAAAAAAAATCCCATTATTCAACATAAAAAAATATGCATGCAAAAAAATAAAGCCAGTGTAAAGCATTATGCATCTCTTGTGTGTCTTGAAAGAAAATTCAGTTTCAAGCCTCTTATTTTGTAGTATTTCTACTCCCTCAGGGTCTGTCATTAATTTACATTTGTCACAGATGGATATATTGTATAACAAATGTTTTTATGCAGTATTCACAGGCTAACAATAGCGGAGAAAGAAAATATCCTTGGAGAATTTCAGGACAGAACTGTGATATAATCTGTGAAATAATATGAAAATAGCAGACTCTCAAAGCCAAACACAAATATCACAAGAAAATACAATCATAGGAAAATTACATAATAAACAAGTCATTCCCACATGCCAGTATTTCCTGCTTATCTGCCACCAATACACTTCTGCGATGGACATAAAATATCATAGACCGCAATGTGTTTTGGCGCTCCAGAAGTTTACTAAGTTGCAGAAATACAGTGGGTGTAATTTATCAAAACCGAAGAAGGCAACATCTGGTGCAGTTGCGCATGGCAACCAAACAGCTTTTCTCTTTCCTTTTCAAAGCCTAACTGAACAAATTGAAGAGAGGTTCTGATTGGTTGCCATGGGCAAATGCTCCAGATTCTATCGGTCCAGTTTTGTATCTATACTCAAGAAGAAAAATATAGTATATTGCTTATCTGTAAAAAAATAAGTCAAGGCAACTGGACTTGCTGTATTTTTCTTGAAGACGTTTTACTGTTCATCCAACCAGCTTTCTCAATTCAGAATGACTTGTACAAATAATTATCTGGGAATAAATATGGTGAATGTCCCTCCAATCCACATAATCTGTGAATTGTCCAGTTGCCTTGACTTATTTTTTACAGATATATAATGATCTGGATGAATGAGAACCTTCGGAGACATAGTATATTGAGCTAACAGTCCTTATATGTGGTAGATACATTAGCTTTCTCTGTCATTTTTTTTTCTTTCACCTAGTGATCCTACTAGTAACACACTTTTCTGTTTTATGATGACAACTCTCTCACTGTGCTGTCTGTATTGATGGAGGAGCAGTAGTATTACCCTAGGACTACCGAAAATGCTATAGACTTTGCTTACTTAACTATTTGATTTTAATCTGTTTAATGATTTAATATTATGATTAGTTGGTTTATTGTTTTTAACATGTATGAATGCAGAATCTTTAATGGGGCCACTACTATGCATTTTTCATACATACTCATGCAATTATATTTACATATTGTATGTAGAAATATAAGGCTGTCACGGGTATTGAAAGCAGGAAGCACACACTTGGGTTTCTGGTCACCAACACTAAAGTGGTACATAGCATACCATTTTTAAGGCACAATATACTAGAGAAATATATAACCAACTCCCAAATCCATCTACCGCATACATAGCCAATGATCAAAAATATGCAAAGTAGGTATAGAGGCACTCACTGGTCTTGCAGCAGAGATGAGTCAAAGCATCAGCATTTTATTGTAATGCTGATGCTTTGACTTATCTCCACTGCAAGACCTGAGTGCCTCTATACCTACTTTTTAAGCTTGTGTTTACACTGTAGGTGTATCATATACACATATATCATTCAATTACATAAAATTGAAAACTGTATGCATCTTGTGTAAAAAAAAATCTTTATAAATAGACCCCATAGTGTATAACATAGCAACAAGGAAAGCAAATTGGTTACAGCTATTTCTGCCAGGGGACCACAGTGGTGTTTAACAACATAAATTACAAGGATTACTCACTTTCTTGATTTATATGGCTAGTGCTACATAATGCAATAAATGAACAGCGGAGTTCATTTCCATTTCTTGGCATTGCCTAGCACGCCGACAAAATTCATAGAGGGGAATTTATCGAAAGTGGAGCAGACAATATTTGGAGGAGATGTGCATGACAACCAATCAGCTTCTCTCTTTCATTTTCAAATCTTAACTGAACAGACTGAAAAGTGAAGCTGATTGGTTGCCCTGGGCAACTGCTCCAGATTTTTCTGCTCCATTTTTGATAAATTCCCGCCATAATGTTTTTAAGGCTGTTTTTTGATTAGCTTGTTTTGGCAGAATTTTTATTATATTTTCTATCAATGTAAATAATTGTGCTGGTTTGTGAATTATGCAAACGGTTTGGAGGGTAGAGATAGTCCACCTTTGCATGACTTTGTTGGGTAATACATTTTGTTCTCTCTTGCAGGTATAAATGACCAAGGATTGTACAGGGTTGTGGGGGTGAGTTCAAAGGTCCAGAGACTTCTGACTTTGTTAATGGGTATGCCACCATTTTAATAATTTTATTGTTTACTAGCTAAGCACATTATAGTTGACATGTCACTTATATTTTATATTATTACATGATGAGGTGTATAATTTTTTCCTATGTAAATGACATTTGGAAGATTGGTCTCTTTTCTATACATTGGTGTATATGGTAGTATGGATATACTGTATATGGAGAGATATGACTAAAAGTATAAAGTTATTTTTGGTAATAATCCTATTAGTGGCACATTCTCTGTGCAGACTACTTAGCAGTGCATGTTATTAGTTCACCAGTAAACTGGTAATCAGCAATTAGATGAGCTACATAAAGTAGACTTAAAGGAGGACTATGAGGTGAATGATTTACACTTATCCTCATAGTTAGAGCCGACGTGGGACAATTAAACTGTCACAGGTCTGCTCTATTGGGGCGATCACAGCTGCCTCTAGATAGGCAAAGCCCGCTGTCAATCAGCCAGCGGGGTGGATCTCGACAGTACAGTATTGGCTGCAGCGCTCTCAGTACACTGAGTGGCCAGATTATTATGACCACCCCATCAGTACTTCGTTGGGCCGCCTCGTGACTCCACGAGATGACTTCGTTGGGCCGCCTTGTGACTCCACGAGATGTTGAAAGGTAATGCGAGGAATCTGACATTGCACTGTTGGCTTCTGTTGTCTTGTACCAGTCTTGCCTCTCTCCGTTCTGCCCTAACACCTAGAAAAGTGGAAGGGACGCGGCGACCCACTGAACATGGTGTCGCGACCCACTTTTGGGTCACGACCCACCAGTTGAGAACCAAGGTTTTTAAATGTCTAGCTCTTTTAGACTGTTATTCATTTTCAGCCGTTCTGGTGAGGTAAGCTGTGTGCTTGTATTTATCTGTATTCTTACTGAAGGTCGGCTGACGGCCACAATTCGCACGTTCAGACCCAGATTTTCGGCTGACAGCCCAGTCTTTAAACACTTTAACAACAGCTGCTGTTGAACATTTAACGAAATCTGCTGTTTTGCTGATACCCGCTCCATGGCTCAGAGCGCCAACAATCATCCCGCGTTCAAAGGCTGTTAAATTGCGTTGTTTACCCATATCTTCAGAAAAAAATCACTTCTACTGTCATGGTAAACAACCTGCTTCCCTATTTATAATGGTCTGGCCCTCTAGCAACTTCAGCGCGAAATTATAGCTAATTATAGCTAATTTGCCTACAAACGTCAGGTGGTCATAATAATCTGGCCACTCAGTGTATAGCTCACCGTATACTGAGCTTAGAGTCACGGGAGGAAATTAGTATTTGTCCTCCCATGACCCTAAAAAGAACTATAAGCTAAAAATGTTACCCCATAGTTCTCTTTTAAGTTGAATCGACTGGATCATGTGGAGTGATTGAAAGGAAACATGTTGGTATGAATGAACAGAAAAGTATTAACCTCTTTAGGGTTGCTTATATAGCTTTTTATGCTCTCCAGAACATACGGTCTAAAATAACATACTACCACCATATTTTACCACTACAAAAGCTGCTGTAGTATTGCCATTATCACACACTATGACCATAGTGCGTGGTTTTGCAATGTCATATACCAAAGGATTCTGGAGCTTTCCAGATAATTTGACAGTTCCCATAATTACAATGCTCCACGGTGCAGGCGATTGACCTGTGGGCGCGAGGTGTGTTTGGGGTGCCATCTAAATGAATGACAACGCAATGCACCTCCCACACCCTAGTAGGTGCGATTGCATGGTACAGTGTGTTAATCGCACAGGACCAATCGATTAATGCACTGTACTAGTGTGTGGTTGTTTGTCAGTGTTTTTGAGGTCCCTTTCAGACACAATCTATCACACACACAAACACGCCAAAAATAATATTTTTTTTTTAATCCACCCAGTCTCCCTAGCTAACGAGAACTGGAGGGGATCCTCAGCCTGGGGTCCAGTGTGGGCTGCTGTGCTGTGACAGAGCTCCATCCATGTGTGCATTGCTTGTACAACCCCCTTGCCCGCCCTGTAGAGATGCCCGGAGCCAGAACATGACGTCACTCCAGTCCAGGTACCTCTACAGGACATGCGAGAAAGCTGTAATCAATGCATGTAAGGATGGCGCTCCCTTGCGCCCATAGCTCCAGCCCACTTAACCTTAAGCTGACTCTCGGCGCCAAGCAGCATATGAATGGCTGCTTTGCACAAGAACGGACAGTGCTACGCTAAGTGGAGGCTGAGAAGCCTCCCACCTAGAAAAGTGGCAGGGACGCGGCGACCCACTGAACATGGTGCGGCGACCCATTGAACATGGTGTCGCGACCCACTTTTGGGTCACGACCCACCAGTTGAGAGCCAAGGTTTTAAATGTCTAGCTCTTAGACTGTTATTCATTTTCAGCCATTCTGGTGAGTTAAGCTGTGTGCTTGTATTTATCTGTATTCTTACTGAAGGTCACACTTCTGCTCTGAAAATCAACTGTAAAGATGGCCAGAAAAGGGTGGTTGGACATGCAGGGATCAAACCACTGCTGGGCATCTCTGTCTGCATTAGGTCCCTAGACACAATGGTCACCTTGGACATCTGCTTGTGTTTTGCCTATTAAGAGAGACGAGTGAAGCTGCATCAGCAACTTTGTTTTTTTTCCAAAGATTATGTTTCTAAACTTTTGTTTATATTCAGTTTTAACCACTTGCTGTCCGGAGCAATTTCTTACTATTTGCACACATGATGCCATCTGAATTTTGGCTAGAAAACCGCTTCATACCCCTAAACAATTATATATTTTCTGAAAGCAGAGGCCCTGTAGAATACAAAAATGCTAGTTGCAATTTTTTATGTTGCATGGTATTTACGCAAATGTTTATCAATCCTGTATTTTTAGGATAAAATACACTAATATGAAATTTAATGCACAGAAACAGAATATAATACCCATTTTTTTGGTAAAATATGGGGTCACGTTGGGTTAATAGATACCAAACGTGAAGTCTTAAAATTGCGTTGCCCGTGAAGCCGCAAAAAACTACAATACTCAAAATTTCCCGTAGGAGACTATTCAAAAGCGTTTACTACTGCTCATTAGTTTAGTGATCTCAGTGATTGATGGCTCTAGAATTATTACTCTCACTCCGATGTTTGCAGCGATATGTAACGTGTAGTGCAATTTTCGTTTTTGCACGTAGGCGCACTGACGCGTGTTTGCATATGTATGTGCATGCACGTGGGGAGGGCGAGGACTTTAAACATTTTTTTTCCATTTTTTAAATATATAATTACATAGTATTTGAGGTTGAATAAAGACATAAGTCCATCAAGTCCAACCTATTGTGTGTGTGCATTTATGTTTAAGCAGGTGTGTGCGTGTGTATTAGTCCATGTGGGATTTTGCTCTTAGGCATACCTGTACCCCTGTATGTTATGGTCTCAGAGGAACTCGTCCAAGACTTTCTTGAATGATTCCACACTCTTAGCTGAGATCACTTCCTGCGGCAGCGAGTTCCAGACCTTAACCGATCTGACTGTGAAGAACCCCTTGCGTGTGTAGAAATTTTTTTCCCACCAATTTTTGGTTGTGGCCTCTGGTCTTTGTTACGGAGCTAATCGTAAACAGTTTGTTAATAATGTTGCTGTCGCCACATGTATGTTACTTAAATTTTGTAATTTTCTTTAACACCTTTTTTTTTTTTAGACTAACTTTATTGCTATCACATAGGGGGCTAACACTCCACTTATGTAATAGCAAATAGGGTGTGGCAGGTCCTCTTGATGGAGACAGCAGGGGTCTGTAATATCACCTAGGGACCCCAAAGAAGCTGAGGAAACAGATATCTGCTTCCCCAGCTTCTTCTCCTGGCTCTAAAAGCCGGAGAATGTAAACAGCGACACCGGAAGTGATGCAATACACATCACCTCCGTGCCCAGTGATTAGAGGAGAGATCAGAGGCTGGAAGCCTGTTGAGCTCTCTCTGATTGTTGCGGAGAGACCCGCTGTGCGGGCCTGCACACGGGGACAGCGGAGCCCGGGGGGGTTGGGGCGACAACACAATACACTGATCGGTACAAATGATCCGGTGGCTGTATAAACACTGGATCGCTTGCATCTTAACAGCCATCACCGGCTTTTTAAAATGACACCAAGAACACAGCCGCAGCTGTGTTCTTAGTATAACCACCGCATATATATGTACGGCCACCCGCAGCACGTGGTTCTCTCTAGGGTCACAGGAGGACATATACTAACCTCCTCCCGTGACCCAAAGCTGAGTAATAGCCCGCAATATACTGAGAGCGCCACAGCTGAGACGGATCCCAACAATACTGTCAAGATCCACCCAGCTGCGTGAGTGACAGCTGCCTCTGCCTATCTAGAGGGGGCTTGGTCACTGCTCACTGCAGGGAGACTATCGGAAAGTGAGCGGATCGGTGCATGTTTCTGTTAACTTCCCGATTTATAGAGCCGACCTGTGTCTTTGTCACAGGTCAGCTCTAACTATGAGGATGAGTGGAATTCACTCACCTCATAGTTGTCCTCTACCTATACACAGTATTTGTTTTACAAATCAGCATGTAATACATGATAAAGGATTCCCAGAGCACTTTTGGTTAGCTGAAGGGACAGTACAACAGACTTTGCTGATGGCTCATTCAGTTGTGTGTGTAAATTTCGGCCTGTGCTATTACGTTCTGTAAACATGAGGCTTTACATTAAACAAGCACATGGGGCCCTAAAAACTTGAGAAGAAGCCTAAACATTCACCTGCTGAAGGAAAATGGAGGAATATAATGTTACATTTACCTTACTACAAAAATAAAAAATATATAATAATCCTGACTATAATGACAAATGTATCTATAGAACCACTATACATCCCCTTTAATGTACTAATGACTTGTCTATGTAAAGTTTGCAATTATAATTATGGACACAAGACAGCCTGTTAGATTCTCTTAACTCATCATTCATTGAAAACAACAAGTCTGCAATAAAGACTTACTGCGGGGTATCTTGTGGTCCAGGCTGACT